CCAATCGTGCTAGCACCCCACCGTTCACCGAACCCACTCAGCATCAGAGTCCCACAGGCCGTCCCCGGACGACCTTCACACAAGGATGCACTACTGCTATGAGCACGATGGATAGTGCCAGTCGGAACAGCAGTGGGTACAACATCTTAAGCTACACTATCTTCTAGAACTTAACAATTTCTGCGGATTAATTCGACTTAATAAAAGTTAGTGTGGTTGTAGTGGCCGCACATTGCGTCTTATGCCTAGGCAACAGCCACGCGCCCCTGCAGGTTTGCTTTCTGCAATTTAACAACGCTTTTAACTTGCACAAGCACATGAAGGAGCATCTAGCCCTAGAGGGACCCCTATCTGTCTGTCCACACCCTTACTGCTAAGACATGCTTAGCTCTGAAGGCAAGTTTTAGAGTTATGCAGAAACCGTCTATGGCATGCTGCCCTTCGGCCCTCGCCGATCGACAGGAAAGCGCAAAGCGCAAGAAGAGCTAGAGGATCTAGGAGAAGGCACGGACGACGATAGCGTGCGAGACGACTCGCACAATGGTGATGATGATGCATTAGGTGGGATTGCGGCGGGAGCGACTTCTGGCGCTTAGAACGTGGCGGTACTAACGGTAAGAATAGTTTTGGTGGGGATGATACCGTAGACGTGGGCGCTTTGGTGACAGGCTTTACAGCATAAGGCACACATGCGAACCTGGGAATACCTAAATAGTATCGTTGAATACATGCATATATTGCCTGATTCCTTGATCCAGCTCTAAGGTTATACACGATGAATGTTATTGAGAGGTCTGAGCGTCGCCATGCCAAGCTTAGAAAGCGCACAGGCCGGAATCCATCGCCATTTCCTATGACGCCTCCATCGCGTTCTCTATCACCCTTGTTCGTGCCATCGCGCTCCACATCACCCTTGGTCCTACCATCCCCGCTACAACTAGAACTTGAGCAACAAGCGCAGCTCAACCTCGATTTTGAACGATCAAGGCAGCAAAGTCCCCTCCTTTACAGCCCCTCACATCCACCGCAGTCCTCCGAACGATTTCCTCCGCCCACTAAACAAGCCGAGCGCTCACTACTTGAGTTACAACTGCACAGCACTCTCAAACAACTGGACGAAGCTGGGCCTGGCTTCCTCTCCACGCGGCTTGAATCGCAAGCGCGTGACATTCTCTAATTGTCAGACGATCTACTAAGCCCTTGTCCTTAGCACCCGGACGAAGCATTCGCGCCCATCAGGGTTACGGCAGATAGCAGCAGGACTGTAGCGCATTACAACAGGACTGCAGCCGATGGCAGTAGGGTTGTAGCGGACGACAACAGGATTGTAGTGGATAATAACAGGGTCATGCTCGAGCTGGTATGTTCACTTATTTTGCTTTTATCTTTTAACGAAGCTTATTAACTTTGTAGAATTCCAGAAGACCTGTTCCACATGCATACTTGCTGGCTACGAACTATTAATCCTGTTTCAACACCCTAGTTCGCAAAGCGAGTTAACTTTGCTATGTAGCAGAATCTAAAATTTATATGTTGATTTGTATTGATGGGCGTTTTTACGTCTTCAATTCTGTTAATCTGGCTTCCCGGGTGGCATTAGAACCTGAGGTCTGTTCCTTATATTACTAGCACGAACCCGCTGACTTTGTGCAGGCGCGTGAGAAGGTTGTTAACGTAGCAGTCACGAGCGGTGTTTTGGAGTACGAAGGTTCAGGAGTCACAGGCGATCATGCTAGAGAAGGGTGATGTATTGCAAGTAGGGATATATAGCAGGTCGTGTGTCATGTGCTTAGAGACCTATGTGTACCCTATTGTTAGTTCTTTAGATCTACATAGTAAGCACATTACATTACCTCGGCAGTCCTATGACTTAACGCTAGATAAGGTGTCGTGTTTTTGTATTGTACTAGTTGGAAAAAGTTTTCTGCGAAGTTTTTATAGGGTCGACATGGACATTTGGAGAAGTCGACGAAAGGCTAGGAAGAAAGTTATATCTGCGGAATTTGGTTTAGATATCTGAAGAGATACACATACTTCTAAGACATACTTATAGGTTTGTCGCATACTGTAGTACTGCTAAGTTATATTGGGATCCTAAATCCCGCATAGCGCAAGTAGGCGGCGTTGCGATTGCAGTGCAAGTGGGTTTGTTCTTAGACCTCTGCATATGGGTAACGGTATCCGTCAGTTGTCTACCAAATTTATTCACTGTACTTGTTTGAATGCGAGGGATCCCTCGTACGAACTGCGAGCTAGAGATGGAAAAGGTACACAGTGTTTGGAGCTTGCTAGGCACGGCTTATGTCTACCCAAGGGTGTGATAAGGGCATCGTGGTCTCGAACGCAGAAACATAGATGAAAGAGAGAAATGCGCATTTGCTGCAAGCAGCGGCTACAGGCGGGACAGTGGATCGCAGGTTGCGGCCCAACATGTGCTAACTTTGAGCTGGAGCTATAGCAACGTAGTGGCTGCATGTGCGATCGGGCCCGCTTTCTTAGGCGTTGTAATTGCGCTTCTGTTGGAACCAACCTATTATTTTGGTGGAGTCCTGCGTGTGTGCCTGCGCCTCGCGACTCTGCGAGCGCGTGTTCGGGTGGGGTTGACCGAGCGTACCAAAGGCGCTAGGAGCGCCGCCCTTACCCTTACCGCCGGCCATTGCGAACGGAGGGATCTGCGGGAAGATATTACTGGTCTTCTCAATTGGAGGATTGCGCTCATTAGGCATCGCTTGATCGTTCGTACAAGGGCTTAACTTGCGCGGGCTAGCTAGTGGGACAGGTGGGGGATGAAGCCTGTCGGTGTCTGTATCGGTTTAGTGGGGGAAGAAGGCTAAAACCGTAGATAGGATGGCGTGCAATCGCTTCGCTTGCGCTTGTCGCACTACACACTTGCTTTTCGCACAACTACTAGGGTTTGTCGTAGTGCGGGTTTCCTCGCTGGGAATTCTGTATGTGCGGTGCTTATTTTATGTCAGGGACGTATTAAGGTGATTAAGTAGCTTGAGCTGTATTAACTTACAAGAGAATAAGTACAAAGTTCTGCCAGAGGGGCAAAACGCGGTCTTAAAGTTCAAAGATGGTCCGTGCGCACTAGCGTCCTGGCGCCACAAGCGTCACGTGACTAAGTATGCGGAGGGACTATAACAGTTAGGGTTATACTATCTTAAGTGTTATTGGTTACAGCTCACTGTATGTACTGTATCGATTACCCTAACCTACTTTACAATGTTATTAGACGCTAGATTTGGGCTGACGTGACTTTAATCCCGGCCCACAATCTAACGTGTATTGACAATCCCGGCCGACAACCTAACGTGTATTAATAATCCCGGCCGACAATCTAACGTGTATCAACACATCTAGACCGTACCCTACATACTTACGCATTAGGCTACATATTTAAGGCACCGCGAACATAACCTCTGATTATTATAACTACAATTGGAGACAGCCTCGCGAACATGACGCGTCATGCTTACGTTTCTTTGGCTTCGCTATTGCTGCATATGCATTTGTACGTGTCTGAGATCCAATCTTTGCTACGAAATTAATTAGAATAACCCAGAATATATCGCCTGCTACGGTTCTTGACGACAATGTGGTTTGCGAGCCGCCTCCGACCCATTTCATTGTCACAGAGTCCTTCGTATACGCCAGATCAAGTTTCCATCATCATTCCTACATTGCGTAGAGATTCAGCACTCTTCCTCGCCGCGATCAACTCCATACTTGAGAACAATCCCAGGGAGATTTTCATTGTCACGACAGACGAAAACCTGAGATGGCTTGAATCTATTGGGACTGAACACTTGAGGGATGATGTGACAGTACGCATCTGCACTGTACCAAACGCGAGCAAGAGAAAGCAGATAGCACATTGCCTCCCGTATACCAAAGGTCGCATCGTTGTGCTCGTGGATGCTGATGTATACTGGCCACCACGACTGCTTGAGCATTTGCTCGCTGGGTTCGAAGACGAGGGTATTGGGGGCGTTGGTTCTAAAGCTAGAGTTCACCTATCCGCTTCAGGTACGCAATCCGTATGGCACTTCTTAGCAAATGCTCGCTTTTCGCTTCGGTTCCGCCACGTTGCTGCTACCAATTATGTTGATGGGGGTATGTCTTGTCTATCCGGCCGAACTGTCGCATATCGCACGCACATATTACAAGACCCTAATTTCCTGCATGCGCTGTTGAATGACTTTTGGCGAGGCCAGTATCATTTGGATGTTGGCGATGATACTTTCATCACACGTTGGATTCAGAGCTTGGGCTGGAAAGCAGTTTTACAGACAGCTCCCGAGGCAGAGGTTACAACCCTAGCCTTTGATTCCTCTGCATTTCTTCTGCAACGGGTCAGATGGACGAGGACTGCAATTTCTTCCTTTTTGAGGTATATATCCGATGGTTGTTACATCAAAAGGTATGTAAATCATTCATTCTGCATTTCGCGAATTCGAGCTAATTCGAGCTTGTGGAAAGCTACCCTTACCTTGTGTTTGAGATGGTCGATGCACTATTGCGTCCACTATTTTGGATCGGCTTCTTCGTTGGCATTTGTGTCCTGGAACTCGAATCATCAGCATCACGGTGAGCAAGTTACCTCAAGCATTAGTACAAAAAGATATGCTAACGTGTCAGTGTGCAACTTCTAACGATATGGGTGATCTTGTCTGTGCTGCAATATGGAGCTATCTTTTCGCAAAACACATTCTCGATAAAGAACCTTTGCGCCCTGGTACTCATGGATATGGGCGCGACTCTAATACATTTTTGGGCGCTACTCACATTACACAATGTACGTCGGCCTTACCCAAGTCGGTTGAGAGTAATTCACTGACACAACAGACGACATGGAGCGGTTCATTGATCAAACATGGAGATCACGGAGGGCCTGCAACTTTGAACTTCTCACGTCACAAAGGTTTCTCAAAAAATGTGTGAATTGAGTACATTGTTAACTAAGAACATGCGCCTCCAGGACTGTTTTCCTAGGAAATTCAAGCCTGAGTAAGAGACTTGTACGATGCCCAACTGGCTCGCCGAAGCAGTGTCCCGTTGATCCCAAGGCTAGCGCGGAGCTTAGCCTGTAGTTCAGCGGCTTCGACCGTCTTGAGTTGAGCCACCAATAAACGAATCAAATTTCGCATCGTTTGTTGCGTAGGCGGACTGTGCGGACCGAACACCTTAATACGCCCTTCCAGCGTTTGCTGATGCCAATGCTCACTTTCCACCAATTTATTCTGCAACATCGAGACAATACCGAGCATGTTGGTTACTGCGCACACCTCAGGATGACCGGGCCCATAGATCGCCTCCCGTCCTTTCAGACACGTCAGGCACAGTGATTCGCATTCTTCGAATGTCTCTTGTGCTGCAGAATCTGACCCTTCTTCGCGGAGTTTTATGCCAACATCTTTCAAGATCGCCGCGAGGAGGTTCGCAGTTCGAAGTGTACGTACGTCATTTTTTCCGAACATCGCTATCTTCCTGGTCAATGTTTGTCGGCTCATCGCTACGGATTCGTCGAGAAGCCTCAGCTCTTTCAGGGCTTGCCCCAGTTCGTCTTCAGAAAGCAGTGTGGCTGGATCGTTCTCGCCAAGGAGCGCCGTGCGACCTTCAAGAACTTCGGTCTGTAGCTCCTTTGAGTCCTCTGTGTTTCCCAGACGCCTGAGGACAATGGCAAGTTCGTACGCTGTATCTAAAGCTGATAGACTTCCTATTCCGTACAGACTCCTTCGATTGACGAGGACTTTGCGGTACAAAGGCTCTGCATCCGACCATCTACCTTCATAGTGCAGAAGCATCGCAAATTGGTGCATGGTTTCGAGTGTTTGAGGATGGCCTATGCCAAGCTCGTTTTCGCATTCCAGTATCATGCGTTCGTACTGAGTCCGGAAGCAGTTTCGTAGCTCGCTGACCTCAGGTTCGTTGGTTTTTGATGATGCAATCCACATGTTAAGCTGGCTTTGCGTGATAGTCAAGCTTTGGGTTGACGTTTTCTCTTGTGCTGAACGTTCCAGGTGAAGTTTCATATTTTGTGACTGTAGGAACTCGAGTATCCAACTCAGTTTTGCTTGTGTAGGTGGTCCAGCTTTGGTGAGATGCGTCGCCCATTGCGTTGAGGCGTATTGTAGGAAGGGGTATTCGTTATGCAGTTGTTTTGTGGACTTCTTTGCAACTTCGTTTGCTCCTAATTTTGAGTAGGACATTTGTCCAATGCAGATCCCGGCAAGGAAGTCATGCGAGTCCTGTTCGCGTACCCGAAATTTTGCGATTTCTTTGGCCTGAAAATCCCAAACTTCATCCGGGCCAGTAAGGAACTGTTTCACCGTTATGTGCACAAAATTGACCCTGGCTTCCCGATCTTCTCCATCTCTCACCACTTGGACCAAGCAGCCGCATACTTCGTCCAGAAACATGTCAAAGTCAAGGAACTGATCAAGCGCACTTAGCGTTGTTGCCTTGTCGCGAATACACAAAGCTGCACTTAACTCCGCCATAGAGAGAGGCCGCTCGGAGGAAGTCAACAGCATGAACAGACGATGAGCTGTCTCCTGTCTGACAGTATCCTGGGTGAGAAGTCTCTCAAGTACACGCCCATAAGCACGTTCCAAGCCTTTTGGTAAGGAGTTGATGATGTCCTCGAGATTCCACAGGTGGGTTGCCCTTCTCAAGTTATCGATCATTAAGCGCACCCAGAGGAACTGACCGTCTGCTTTGTCCCTGAGTACAGTTGTGATCTTTGCTTGCAGAGGATTGTTGTGTAGAGTCGATAAGGGCGGTTGGGCGAGAGCCACCTGTATGTAACGATCTAGATCGTTCTGGATGAGGCTGGGGGTGACCTCGATACTGTTATAGTACTTGAGCTTTGATCGAATGTGCGTCTCATTGCGGCTGCTGAGTAGTAGCCCAACAGACGAGTGTTCCTTTGCCAAGGTGAGGAGCGTGTCCAAAAACGCAGTCGTCTCACCATCCTCACACTCGTCCCATGCATCAATGATGATCCGGAAGCTAAGACCATTCGGTCGACATGTCAGAATGGTCTGGAGAAGTTCCGATAACTGCCGCAGTGAAGTAGCCCTCTCTTGTCCACTTTGTACCATAGAGTCGAAGGCTAGGTCAACGCACTCGGGGAACTTCGATATGATCTGGGCAAGTAGAGACTTTACGACGGCCAGAGAGGACCGTTTCGTTGGCGAACTTCCGTCACAGAAGAATCCAACTGTGGCCGGTCCGTTTTGGGTAGTAACCTCGTCAGATCTCAGCTGATCAATGAGACTGGAACACAATGTGCTCTTGCCGCAACTGTGATATGGAACTTGTTGTTAGCATGGAGTTCAATAGACAAGCAGCTCAGACAACGTACCCGGGAATGCCACGAATCCACAAAACTTTGGTTTTACCCAAGATCCAAGACTGGACAGTATCGCCTTGCACAAACCAGTCACCACTATCAGGTAGTCTTGTCTTCGCCAACAGCTCCAGGGTACCTTCAACATCGGCAGGAGCAAGCCACTTGACCAACTCCCTGACTTTGAAGGCGAGGTGTTGAACAATAGCCTCCTCCCTTCCGATCTTAGCTTCCATAATGGCCACTGCATTGGCCTCGACGTCAGCTAAGGTTTTGTGACGGATAATACTCTCCACAATGTGTTTGGTTCGACTTTCCATGTCGCTCCACAGAACCCTCCAGAACATGCTTATACCTGTCGGGCGTAAGCGAGACAGTTGGTGACAAAGACACGGACGTGGCTCTTACCTTTCCTGCGAAAGAAGGTCACTACAAAGACACAGAAATTCAGTAAGTCGACATATATGTACGAAAGAACGTCACGTAAGCGTTTGTGGTTCTCAAACAGCGCTGTGTACTCATTGATACGAGGAAGATTCTCGCCAAGGAGAGACAACGTATCGAGAAAACGGTCGAAGCACCCAACGAATCTACCTGCGATCTACGATGGAGAGTCATTAGATAGCAATTCACTAGGATATGAGAGATCATGGGGCTTACGTCCAAAACCAAAGTGATAGATCCCCAAAGCAAGGCCAACTCTCCAACGCCGGTGTTGCAGTACGTTTTCATCGCCCCATCGTACAGTTTGACAGAATCAAGAAACGGAGTAAGCTTCTTGACCCAACGAAAAGACAAACGTGATTTTTGGCGGGTTTCCAATGTTCTTAACGTTGTAAGAACATCATCTGCTGTCGCCGCACCGGTAAATAGCTTTCGCTGTTCAGGCGTGCATTTGCTCTCCACAGTTTCTTTGGCAGTTTTCCAAGCATCTTGTATATTCTTTTCGTAGGTGTAGTCGTTCGGTGGCTTTTCGTTCGGGGAATGTAGCTTTGAGCTTTCATTGGCAAGAGATGACTCCACTAATGTTGTACTTGCTGAGATCATCGATTGTGGCGACGAACTCATCCTGAGTCGACCTAGGTCCATGATGAAGGGATTGTTGATGACAAGGTGCGATTCTGGTGGGAAAGTGCGGCTAGGTATGACCCCGCCTTGTGCTCACCGGAACCTGCGCCGGGTCGCACTTTGCCACTAGTGATACTCCAAGTGACGTGGAGGGTGTCAGGATACCCAATCATGAGTTGCAGGTAACTTCTGCAGCGATAAGGTAGTACCTTGAAAAGCTGGTCATTTTCCAGCTGCATGTGCATCTGACCAACGCGCACCAAACACGCGGAAACACTAAATGCGCGCATCCACTAAAACGCCTTTAGCCCCACACCTATATTACTTTACGCTACTAGGTCGCTTGAATTAGCCATTGTAGGTATAGCCTAATTAAGCTCTTACGAAAAGATCCTATCTGTAATAGCGTAAACAAGATAATTGTCGGATATCAAGGGTGCCGAGAGGTCCTGAAACTCAGGTGTCCCGTAGCGCGCCTGGGGGGGTCTGTGAAATGGTGCCCTCATCGTGTCTACTGTATAGTTGTCAGAAGACGCATAGCCCTTTCCATGTAGACATAGGCCCGTGTGTGATAAGATGCCTACTGGGCGAGTTTATGGGCGAATCTGACGAGGCGCCCGAATTGAAATACACCACGATGATCGAGCTAGGCTTATGCCAGGCTACGCACCACTACAGTAGTAATTGCTATTCAGGTTGAATACCTATTTCACAGACTACAACAGATTTCCCAGGTGTAACAAAAGCATCGATTTGGTGAGATTACACAAGGCAAAGATTGGATTGTATAAACTATCTACACAGTATGAATACCCTGTTAGCTTGTTCCAATGATAAGATCTCCGACTCAACATATCTCAACACGGTGACTTCACAGTGTTCGCTAGCAGTCGTGAAAGTCTTTCTCTTTCACTCGGGCTAGCGCGTCATGGGTCATTGATCCTCATAATCGCAGTCGTCGTCTTCCGAGCGCTTTGCCACTTTCCTTTCTTGCTGGATATATTGCGCTTCATCTCCCAAGCCGATTTCCTCTGGAGGTGTTTTTGATCGTTTCCTTTTCTTAATGCTGGGAGAGATGATATGCTTGCCCAGTGATCCAGACTGCTGTTCCTTGCGCTCTGCTGCATCGAGAAATTGGCAAAGCTGCCGGCTTGTGTCAAGCAATAGAGTCTTTATAGATACGAGATGCACCGCGATAGTGGAAGTAGAGGTATATTGCCTTGTAAGACTAGAGACGAACCGCTGTCGAGCCACAACAGCGGTAAGGTAGGCTAATATACTGCGATTGCTTGGCATAACGGCCCGAACAGGCCCGGAGTAGCCTGGTGCCTGACAGCTTGAGATGTGAATTTCTGCATCTTGGTCTCCAAGCTGCTCCTGCACCAGCTCTTCGTACGCGAACTCGCGAAGGCGGAGCTGCAAGCCTGGGTAGTCAGTGGCGTTGCCTACATCGTCACGAAACACCTATTATCAATGTCAGAATGTAAGCGACAGCAGAGAACTGCATTAGCGACCCACTTCATCTTTGACCTCTTTCTCTACATATAGCTCCTTTCCTGTAGAAGTATCGCGCTCTCGCGTTCGCCACACTGTTAATGTAGCCTTGTGTGACCCTTTCTTGCCGTATTCAATATCTAGCCCAACGATAGCCTGTACATTAGCGTCCGAGTCCAAGAGATAGACTTCAGCTAGCCGGGCCAACCGTTCCCTCTTCTGTGAGTATGCCACCTCTATGACAACCCCAGGGTATTGCGCATCGTCATGCCAGAAGGACGTGTCTGGCTCGTGCTTCGATCTTCTGTCGGACGGGTTGCTTTCGGCCGGAAAACGTATTTCCGTAGATCGAGCAGGGTTCACTTTCTGCGCGAACGTCGCTGTACCGTCAGATCTCTCCCGGATCGATTTCAGCTGGCTTAGTATGGCGTCCTCGACGCGAGCAATGAACAGTTCGTGTACAGCTGTAGGCATGCGAACGAAAAGCAGGTAGTTTTCGGCGTCGTAATCATATCTACCCGCCTCTCACATTAGCCGCCATGCCTATCATGCATCAAGTGCACCCACCGTATCTTGTCTTTCACAAACCCCCGCAGCTCCTCGTCTCTGTCGAGCAGACACTGCACCCTGCCAAACTCCCCTGGTACAAGCAAGAATTCTGTCCACGGGCGTCGATCGCTATGCTTTCCAGCTCGGATCTCGTGGAAGAGGGCGATAACTCGAGGGGCTTGCGCGAACGGTTTCTCATCCGTCGATGGCGGCGTCAATGGTGAGCGTATGAAACTCGAGGGCGGAGTGATCTTTTCGTTTGTTTCCTCGAGGTTTCGCGACGGAGCCATAACAGTGTGTCGCACGGCATCGCGACGTGGTGCAAGGGATGTCAGGATGCAGTTAGGCAGCTGCAACACTTTCTCCGCTCTGGTTGACTCAGCAACAATGCCAAGCGGCGTGACCGTAGCTAGCGCGGTGAGCTTGATAGCGCAACAACACCAGACCTGAGACAGTTGCCGTTCCCGCGTTCCAATAGCGCTAAATCTAGCTTCCGATTCGGAGAGGACGTAGTTTCGGGGTTTGAGTAATTAAGCATGCAAGTAGATGTGGGCCAGCGGACCCTTTGTACTATGATCCACGTGAGCAGCTAAGAAAGTTAGCGGGAGATCGTCGCTGATTCGGCTAAGAATGGCCGAAGCGTCCAAGCTTCCTGAGCGGAGTAGCTCTTGCTTTCAACGACGGTCGCACGAGCGCATAAACTCACGGCTCGCCTCTGGACATGAGATCTGTTTTCCTCGACTCCCCCGCCTATCAATCACGATCAAGAACCGTACCTAGTCTTCCCCAAGAGTCCGCCCGCTTCGGCTCGAGTTGCAGCGATAGCCCGAAACGGAGACGAGTTGATGGCCTCGACAATGTCTAGCCCAATCGCAGCGAGTTGGAACGTGAAAAAGGTTCAGCATTAGCTTTGGATGCGTGGACGGTATTCACTCCGCCTACTCGCCGCGTTCCTTCGAGCGTGAAATGTTCATCGAGCGAGAAGTCGGTCATACTGAATATTGCATGGCTGATGGTGCTGACAGTTCCATGATGGCCTAAAGGAGGCACGTCCTGAACATGTGGAACTTTTGGTTGAGGGGCCTGCTGGACTGTGTAAGCTTTCAGCTTCATCTTTCAGGGCTTACAGGTACGTTCATCAAGATCACCATGCTTACGTCGATATCTGACTCAGCCAGTATCTTATCCAAAATGACCCGGAAGTGCGTTACCAGACTACTATCCCTCCATGTGTAGCGGAAAAACCTGCGTGGCGGCATGCCGGCAGTGCTCCCCACCGCAACAAAGCCAACCGCAGCGGAGAGACGTAGAGAATCTCGGGATAGACAGCTTGACTATAGCGCTTTCTCTAAGTTACGTATTGTTAGCAACAAACTACTGCGTGGCTAGCAATACCACAATTCGCTGCCGGTATACACTGCAGCCTCGCCTCGGACAGCCTCGGACGTGCTAAAGATTCAACGCATGTATCTAAGAATCTGTCAAGCTATACCTATATATATAAAGAGTGTATCCCGAGCGAACTACTGCGGCATCCTTAGTCGTGGCGCTGTTGTGCAAGTCTATTGCTCTACGAAGCAGAATCGACAATTATAGCGCGCTACCAGCAGGTCGTACGGAAAAGCCGCAAGTAGCTTAGCGGTATTCTATCCGCGCTAATGTCAGACCCTTGTTCCGCAAGCGTAGCTTAGACAGAGCCCCCCGGCTAGCGGCTAGCGGCTAAGGCTAAGGCTAAGCATGACTCGCTCGTGCTCGAATACATGCTCAAACGCCGCACTAGACTCTACGCACGCCTGTTTTGGGAGCGGATAGTAAATTAGTAGAGGTAGAGGCTTATATACAGTCCTCCTGCAACGTCGAAATTGACTTAGAGTAATAAGTACAAATATACAGAACCTTTCATCCTCATCTAACTGACGACTTTGAGCTTCTAATGCCTATCTTTGCTAGCCCGCGCAGCAGCTTCGACCCTTTGCCTGTGCATGCACTTTGGGTGCTACCCGCTATTGTAGGAGAAACAGCAAGCTGGTGCTGCTCGTGCGATGCAAGCGCGTCAGCGTAATGCTGGCGACACGCACGTGTAGTCGGGTGGTCTTTCCCAAGTACAGCTTCGTACCCAGCGCATGCTCTCTCGTACAGAGCAAGGGATTCGTTGTAGCGGCGCCAGTGCGTGAAGAGATGGGCAAGACAGTATATGCTCGTCAGCGTATCTGGGTGTTCATGCCCGAGCACCTTCTCCTTCCGCCAAGTTGTTCATGCTCTCTAGCGTGTCTGAATGCTTACGAGCAAGCACCTTTTCTTTTACCTCCAGAATCTCTAGAAGGCTTCGAGCCTATTTCCATCACTATTTCATACTGCCCACCTCGCTTGCATACCACGTTGCTTTAAGCAGCATCGGTGCCCATGCATCCAGCGCCTCTGCCTCTCCTGGTCGACAGTCGGATGTAGCTTAAGTGAAGCTAGATCTTCCATCGCTAAAGAATAGAGAAAGCAATATTGCATAAGCCGGCGAGAGCTCCTTTCTTCAGATCTCTTCTCATTTTCAACGCAGTTCAAACGTTGGTCAATCTAAATACAGAGACTGAGACTAACAATTGAACGAAAACCCCCACGACTGTAAAGGCAACCATTAATGGAATTGTTGCATTCTGTAGATCTTCAGGATGCTCCTTTAACCATGATGGTATGAACCAGAGTGTAGCACTGAGAGTAATCAAGAACATGATAGACGATGGGATAAGAATGGCTAGGGCAGAGTATCGCTCCTCAATATGCAACCCAAAAGCTCTGCTACGAGCTTTGATGGGACCCTTGGATCGTGTGGGGAGCATGTCTTTTAGTTCTGTAGAGGTCCCGCAATCTTCTGGGTGCATAAAATAGTGCCAGACCTCGTGGCTGGGATATGGGGTCCCTGATGGCCATGGTCGAGGATTATAGCGATATTCTTCAAATTCAGGGTCGCTTGCTTCGGGATATCGCTCCTTGTCCTGGTGTATGTCGACGTAATAGACGTTCAGCGCCTCTTTGAATAGAAAACTGTGGAACTGAACAAGATTAGCTGAGCATTCTATCGTGTGAGAATTCAAGCGATAGGAAATGAGATTCCTTTGAAACGTACGCGGAAAAATTTGATTCCGGTCACACGCTTCCATTTGAACCAACCCGAAGAAATGCTTCGATAAGTCTCAAAAAGGCATTCGAAAGTCGTCTGATCAGTTGTGCCTGGTACGACTGTCTGTGCGATTGACTCATTCAACCCAGTATAAAGAATGAGGAATAGAACAGGGCTTTCTTGACCGACATCATCGCGAGGAGTATCAGTCATACCGCTATCAATGGCTGCTTTGCGTAGCTTTCTCTTCCTCGGCTTCTTGTTCGAGCGGCCGGTATGCATACTAGACTGGCTTGTAGCACTCTTCCCTCCTGTCGTTTGAGAGACCTCGACTTGTGAGCTGATGCTGCCGCTATATGACGGTTCAGTAACCGAGTGGGTGTGCCTCCGTGTTCCAAACATATCTATCATGCCTTAGCTTTGGGCCTTGCAACCCATTCTATACTATTTGCCAGGTTGCTTACTTTGATTAGCGGGGTCCGTGTTGGGCTTTGACGCGTAGTGACTGAGGAGAAGGCGCATCAGAGTTGTATTATGGAGAAGAACGGCTTTGCGACGTAGGAATCTCCCCTTGTATTCTGGCCTAGAGACGAGTTCATTAGAAAGTTTAGGAAACAGTGACTCCGCAAGATATATTGGAACATCGTCATAAAAACGCCGACCTCGCTAATAATCTATTAGTGGACTGACCTGACCCAGTGCTTAGGCTTGAAAGGGTGCTTGAACTTACGAAAGGCATAGAGTATACTCGAATGTGATGTGGTTCTAACGTGTCTTCTGGTTCTGTTAGAGGCCACCAGGACAACCGGCAACCGGCAACATGCTCAACGCCTCTTTTGCACATATCCTGGACGGAAGCGCTGAATCCCCTCGGAAAGTCGATATCGTAGTCAAGGCCAGGTAAGTCACTTCCCATCGTTCCATTTGCGCGGATACTGTCGTGCGAACTCTTCTGTGTGTCGGCCGTAGGATGCACAGGTTGGATGAAAGTGCGCACATTCTGTTTATATAGGCGAAACGGTCGCCCAGAGATGAGGAATCTAGCATTATCTGCCAATCTCGGTTGCATGGTATCATCCCCAATTTTGAAGTTAGATTCATCACCGCTCAGATCCTCATCATCTTCGCTGTCTTCGCTTTTTTCACTAAGTTCTTCCCTAGCGATCTGTGGTGCTTGCTGCGCCACCAGGTCCTTTTCGTTCATGAAACGTTCAAGCATAGAGATATTCCCTTGTTCTTGCTTTAGCATGAGGTTGACTTTCTCACCGAGAGTTTGGCCTGAAGGCATAAGGAGACGGTGAATCTCCGATGAGATATGGGTTCTCGTGCTTCGTGACCTCAAGAATTGGATCGCAAGCTCTTGAGAAGCAGCACGTCCCTCATCGCGTAGGTCCAGAAAGAATCTCTTCAGCAAGCGTCGATTATTATTCACAAATCTTGCTTCGTCCATGCAGTGAATTGCCTCCTGATATAGAGACAAGAGCTCCGAGTCATCGACGAATGTCTTGACGATGTAACTTACGGCAGCCTGTCGATAATCCCTCATCTCTTGAACAGATTCTGCCAGGGAATCAATGTCATCAGGTACAGACCTGACGGACTGTATTTCGCCATCTCTTTCGTCAGGGTCAAAATTATCTGCTGATGGCTTGTACCTGTAGAAAATCGTAGGCGAATGATTGTCGGTTATTTGTTCCATATCCACAGCAATTCGTGACAGTGAAGACGGATTTGTGGAACGTGTTTGATCTGACCAGAAGGCGCTTTGAAGTTCTGTAGATGCTGTTTTGGCTTCATCGAGCGCTTCGGCTTCCTTCAATCGACCTTGGTTCCGTAACGTCAATGCCAGGTTGGCCATGCTCATCAGCGTGTCTGGATGCTGATGCCCGAGCACCTTCTCCCTCCGCGCCAGTGTCTGTCTGTGCATCGCCTCCGCCTCTTCGTACTTGCCCTGGCGGTTCAGCACTAGCGCCAAGTTGTTCATGCTCGTCAGCGTGGAAGGATGCTCATGCCCGAGCACCTTCTCGTACCGCGCCAGCGTCTGTCTGTGCATCGCCTCCGCCTCTTCGTGCTTGCCCTGGCTGTTGAGCACTTGCGCCAAGTTGTTCATGCTCCCCAGCGTAGAGGGATGCTGATGCCCGAGCACCTTCTCCCTGCGCGCCAGCGTCTGTCTGTGCATCGCCTCTGCCTCTTCGTGCTTGCTCTGGCTGGTGAGCACTAGCGCCAAGTTGTTTATGCTCGTCAGCGTGGAAGGATGCTGATACCCGAGCACCTTCTCCCTCCGCGCCAGCATCTGTCTGAGCATCACCTCTGCCTCTTCGTGCTTGCCCTGGCTGGTGAGCACTAGCGCCAAGTTGTTCATGCTCGTCAGCGTGGAAGGATGCTCATGCCCGAGCACCTTCTCCCTGCGCGCCAGCGTCTGTCTGTGCATCCCTTCCGTCTCCTCGTACTTGCCCTGACTGTTGAGCACTAGCGCCAAGTTGTTCATGCTCGTCAGCGTAGAGGGATGCTCGTGCCCGAGCACCTTCTCGCATATCGCTAGCTCCTGCTTGTGCATCGCCTCCGCCTCTTCGTACTTGCGCTGGCTGTTGAGCACTTCCGCCAAGTTGTTCATGCTCGTCAGCGTGTGCGGATGCTCATGCCCGAGCACCTTCTCCCTGCGCGCCAGCGTCTGTCTGAGCATCGCCTCGGCCTCTTCGTACTTGCGCTGGCTGTTGAGCACTTCCGCCAAGTTGTTCATGCTCATCAGCGTGTGTGGATGCTTATGCCCAAGCACCTTCTCACTCCGCGCCAGTGTCTGTCTGTGCATCGCCTCAGCCACTTCGTACTTGCCCTGGCTGTTAAGCACTTCCGCCAAGTTGTTCATGCTCGTCAGCGTAAAGGGATGCTCAGGTCCAAGCACCTTCTTCGTGCATTCTAGCTCCTGCCGGTTCATCACCTCCGCCTCTTCGTACTTGCCCTGGCTGTTGAGCACTTGCGCCAAGTTGTTCATGCTCGCCAGCGTGTCGGGATGCTCATGCCCGAGCACATTCTCGTACCGCGCCAGCGTCTGTCTGTGCATCGCCTCTGCCTCTTCATACTTGCCCCCAAGCTCTCTAGCTAACCCTACCATCCCCATGCTGCTCAGCATCTCCGCATTGTCTTCTCCAAGCACCTCACTCCTAACCTCCATCGACATCATCGCCATCTCTTCTGCCTCGCCGGCTCTCCCTCGTTGCCACGCGTACCATGCCGCCTTGTACAGCAACAGCGCCCACGTTTTCAGTGACTCTCTATCCCTTGGCCGCTGCGCTAATGCCGCCTGTGCGTGTGGAAACAGCGCCTGGCACTTCTCCCAGTTCTCGTGTTCTCCCGTCGGCAGCTCTGCGCACAGGTTCGAGATAAACTGCTCTCTCCACTTGTCCAGCTGCCCTTCGCTCTCTAGCCACGTGCGCGTCGCTAGCTGCACCAGGCTGTGCATCTCAAACGTGCTCGCATCTCTAGTAACAGTAACAAACGAGTAGTCTCGGAGGGCCACCACGTCGTCCTCAAATCCGTCGTCCGCTGTGCTGCTCGGGCGGCGGAGCAGAGCTTCTTGGATCCCCTGTCGGTCGAAGAAGCTCATCAGCGACAGCAGGCCTGCTGCTGACTGTCTTGTGCTCCGTATATAGTCGAACGTGATCTGCCACGTTATCAGGACCGAGTTGCTGGCTGCTGCATCTCGGCGAAGGTGACCCGCCTCCCGGTTCAGCAGACTTGTCTTTCTGCTGTCGCTCTGCCGGTACTCCTCGAGGTACTGCTGCACCGAGCATCGCGGCGCTCGCTCGCGAATGTAGGCCGCCGCCTGCACGAGAGCAAGCGGCATGTGATCGAGCGTCGTCGCTAGCTTGGCGATGCTGTCGTCTTCCTCGTCTATGCCTCCCAGCTTCTTGCGGAGTAGAGCGCGTGCAGCTGCATCGTGCATCGGCTCAATCGGTATGATGTCGCTGTCCTCTACGACCTGCATCGCCGCGCGCTTTGTCCGGCTCGTCACTAGGACGGAGCCATGCCTGCTTGAGGGGATGTATCTCGATAGATGCTGTTGGAGAGCGCTGCCGTCTGTTGGGGAAAGAACGGCAGCATCGTCGGCGTTGTCCAGCACTAAGAACCACGGCCTGTTCTTCTCGTCGCGCAGCCAGTCGTGCACCAGCTTAAACACATCCGCTTGCGGGTCCTTCCGCCCACGAACCTTGACCTGCTCAGCTATCTCGCGGAAGCTCTGCTCAAGGCGCGCCGTATTGCTGGCGTGCGCCCAGAACACCCACGTGTCCGGCGACTGCTCAGCGGTGCGGTAGCAGTGCTCGATGGCCAGCTGCGACTTGCTGTGCTTGCGTTAGATGCGAGCGCCGACCTTAGCCCCTTTCGCTGCACTTACCCCACCCCGCCGAGGCCCACCAGCGCTACTCGCGATGCTGGCGCAGCGCATCGATCGCGGATCTGGTCGAGCAGCGTTCCACGAGCAACAAAGTCAGGGTCGCGGCGAAACGGCACGAAGCACGAGGGCTGTGGTGGGGTCTCCGGACGTTCTGCAGAGACAAAGCACAGTTAGCGCAGCGCTGGTCAAGGCGGGAGCGGGCACTTGCCGGGTGCAGCAAGGTGGATAGCGCCCGAGTTGTGTCCTATCTGCAGCCCCTGGTTGCCATCACCTGCGAACGTGATGTTGGTGCTAGGTAAGGCCATCGTACACATTAGCGATCTGGTTTGTGTAAGAGGGAGAGCCTTGTGCAAACGGGCAGCTGCTCTGGCGCGCGACGCTTAGCCGTCACGGCTGGGTCGTCAAGGCTGGGCAGGCGCTTCAGCTGAGCTTCCCGCACATTCTATGTACAGTACAGTATAGCGCTGCGTTTATCTCTCATGCTCTGGCACTGCTGCCTCCAACGTCAAATACAGTACTGATATCCGCTTTCTATCTTCCACAATCCGACGTTCCTAGCTCACTCTATTTCTGGCGAACGACATGGCAGAGGCAGCCGGTCTTGTTGTTGGTGTCGTCGCCCTTGCTGGCCTCTTCAACAACACAGTCGAGTGCTTCGAGTTCGTCCAGCTCGGCCGCACATTTGGAAAAGACTTCCAGACAAGTCAGCTCAAGCTCGACAGCACAAGACTCCGCCTGTCACGGTGGGGCAAGTCTCTGAGTCTGGACAATGATGTCCGAGATGCGGTATCGCTTCATGGGCGTTTTGGGTCCGAGGCAAACGTAAAGCACGCCGAAGCCTTGCTGGGCCAGATCGTAGAACTGTTTGCGGAAGCTGAAGGCGTGTCGAATAGATACAGGGGCCGGACAGAGCCTCAGGACGGCAGCCTTGCCGTATACGATCCGCAAACCGACCTGGATCCGGCGATGGCGAAGCTCCACGAGAAAATGCGCCAGCTAGCCATCGAGCGCCAGAACCGGTCTGGCGTACGGCAAAAGGCCAAGTGGGCATTGTATCAAGAGAAGCAGTTTAGACGACTGATTGAGGACATCACCGAGTTGGTCAACGACTTGGACAACCTTTTCCCCGCCACTCAGCAGTCCCAGCGTGAGCTCTGCGACATCGAAGTCTCTACCATGGGAGAAGGTCAAGACATCTCTGTGTTGAGAGAAATTGCCGCCGCCCAGGACAAGTTGTTAGAGCAGGCTATCACGAAGGCTGCGGAGAGTGCTGGCAAGTCGCACCACATCGTCTTTTCGGGCAGTGGAAACACGGGCCTTCAGCTGGGCCACAACTCTGGTACAATGTCAGGGTTTACATTTGGGAGAGGCAGCTGAAGCTGGTGAAGGGCGGCACAGGATGGTAATCGGGTGATGTAGGGTTTATAAACTATAGAAGAATAACACTCTATGCTTGTCGATAAGAAAACAATAGAGAACACACTCTTGCCGTTCACAACAACTGTATGAGGGACGGACACTCTACGCTAGGTAGAGCGCGGGTGGGGCAGCGCGCTATCGATGGAACAGGCTGGCAGCCATGCCCTCCCGCGTCTGCCCTGATCGACGCTGCTCTAATTACCGTAACCGCGCTCCGCGACCTGATCCTCCACAACCTCTTGCTTCGCTCCGTTCCGCTGCGATGCAGACCTTCCAACTGTGGAGGCGGCCCGCGCGACACTGAAATCTTAGCTGCGCTGTACTGTATTCTAAACTATTTTCAAAGCAATACAAGCGCGGTGCTCTTCTAGAAGCATCTACGGACAGAGGGCTATTTTTAGCATTCGAGCGGGGTGCGGAGGGCATCCTCGCTCGTTGTCCGTTCGTGACTATGGTACCACCACGATCGTCGAGATGGATGCTGCCAGCAAGGCACTGGCAGAGGCTCCCCCAAACGACGATAGAACCTGGGCTGCCCGGGCCGATTCCAGCGGCATCGCGATTACCACACTATACAACCGTTGGCGAGGGCGGCCCTCGATTCAGAAAAAGGCTGAAGGCCAACAGTACCTTACCGTAGAAGAGGAGAAAGCTCTTGTTGCGTTCCTGCTACTAATGTCTAGTTTTGGACAGCCTGTCCGCATCAAGTACATACCAACGCTAGCCTTCAGCATCGCCCGACGTCGATCCCCCGCGAGTAGACCGAATAAGCCTCCCGGTAAGAACTGGGCTCAAGCCTACGGGAAACGCCATCCCGAGCTCAAATCGAAGAGAGTGAGATCCATAGACTGGAGGCGCCATGAGATACACATATATGATAAGATCACGGAGTGGTTCGACGTTATCGGCAAGGTGCTACAGGATCTGGCTATTCTGCCGGAAAACGTATACAACATAGATAAGACAGGTGTCGTGCTAAGCATGCTGGGCTCTGTCAAGGTTCTTGTAGGTAGAGATGACGTACGGGGGCATAGAGGCGCGGGCGTCAAGCGGACCATGGTTACCGGTATAGAGTGCATTAGTGCTGATGGTAGGTTGCTACCACCTCCAATTATCTGGCCGGCCGCGACACACCGGAGTAACTGGACCACGCACCCAACCCCAGGGTGGCACTATGGAGTTTCCAAGAATGGGTACAACGATTCCAAGATAAGTCTCGAATGGCTAAAGCGTGTTTTTGATGTCGAAACTAGAGCCCGAGCCAATGGTAAGCCACGAGTACTGATCTGTGACGGCTTTAGTTAGATCTCACGATCATTGTTTCATATATGTAACATGTCACGTGTCTACAAGTACTTATACTCGTAGAGTAGCTAGCTTTATTCAATTAAGCCTGCTAAATTCAACTGCTTCGGGACCCACGAGACGCTGGAGGTCCTGGAGTTTTGCTTTGAGAACAACAACGTCCTGTGCCGTCTGCCTTCCCATACCTCTCACAAACTGCAGCCCTGTGATGTCTCCGTCTTTGCGCCCCTGAAGACAGCCTACCGTGATCAGGTTGAGCGACTGAACCGCGGCGGCATGCACACAATAGCCAAGGAGCATTTCACTTACCTGTATGCGCCAGCAAGGGAAAGGGCATTAACCAAGAGGAACATCGTTGCCGGATGGGCTGCTACGGGCTTGTTTCCCTTTAACCCGGAGAGAGTGCTTCGTAACACACCAAAGCCGCCTGCAGACCTCGTTGTCTCGACCGCTAATGAGGTGGGATCCTCCTCCCAGAGCGACGTACCGCTGACACCCGTAACTCCTGTGACACCGGTGATGGCAGAGGGCTTGACATTGCTACATGACCTGATCCAACGCGATGCTGGTGCGCCTGACGAGGCGAGCAAACAGCGCCTGGAGAGGCGTGTACAGAAGCTGGTGAGTGCCGCCAAGATATCTGTTGCCAAACAGAGCCTCCTCCAGGACCACAATCGCCTGCTATGCAACATCAACAACGAAGCCACGGTCCGCCGAACGACGCGCTCCTTAGTTCTCAGCGACGGAAAGGGAGAGGGAAAGGTGATGCGCTGGGAGGACCTTCAGAGGGTGCGAGCGGAACGCGCTGCTAGAGAGACGGCTGCAAATCAGAAGGGCAAAGGAAAGCGCGGTCGAAAGCGCAAGACACCTGCACAAGAAGAAGAGGAAGTACCGATACCTCCAGAGACAGAATCGGGCCCGTCAAGGCCAAGGGAAAAAGCGTCGAAAAAGAGCAGGGTCCAGGAGCCAGCGCCATGGAGGGCACCAGTGGCGACGATGTATTAATGTATTGATGTAACATTATTAGACAATAAATACCATAAAACCGATCATGTACCGAAAGACAGTCTCGCGATAGATATATATGAATTGGTGCTCGTGTTAGTATGTCATACGCTGATGACCGTAATAGTTCGCCATGATGGTTCAGCTGATGCGCCAACCTCAGCCTCCATAGCTCAGCCTCATGCGTAGGGGCAGCTGTGCCGCTTCGCAAAGCCTACCACAACACGCAAACCCAGCCGCTGTCACATACAGCACAATGGCTTTCCCCAGCGTCACGACCACGTTCACAGGCCCAAGGAACCAAGGGTTGCAGGTCGGCTACAACTCTATCCTAGGGCGCTAACTGGAGTCAGGGCTGACTCCAGTTATTTCGGTGCTGAGATGTACACATTTCCCTGCGTAGGCGACATCACGTAGGCTGATTCCAGTAAACTTCGCAGGCTAGTCCAGTTAGGTTCCCGCAGGCCAATAGCTCTAAAATTTAGATATGTTAATTAGAGCGCTAAGTTGCACGTTAACACGAATTTGCAGCCCTGCAG